GTGTGCGGCGGGGCCGTCGCCGCGCCAGAGGCCCGCCTCCTGCGGCGCCGTTGAGCGGCCCCACGCGCCGCCGGCGCCGCCGCCGCGCCTCGCCGTGGGCGCGGCGCTGAGCGCGGCGGCGGCGGCCGCGGGGTCACGGCCGTTGCGGGAGCCATGGAGCGAGCCGCAGTGGGCGGTGGTCTCGAGGCCAGACAGGATGGACGCCAGCTGCGGCGTGATCATGACATCAGCGGTGGGGGGCACACGACGCGGGTCAGCAGCCGCGCGGCCGGCGGTCGGACGCATAACGTGGGGGCGCAGCACCCGCGGCCCGACGTCGGCCCTTCACCTGCCCGCCCTCTCTTCTGACGTGCGATCCGCACATCGAAACGCGCGCCCGCTGCGCGCGCAGAGGGCTGGAGGCGGCCGTCACGCAGGTGCTCGGCAGCTTCCGGCGGGACCCCCCACCTGCTGCTCCACCGCGGCGTCGTCGCAGCCGCCGCCGTCGTCCCCCTCCCCTACGCGGCTCCTTATCAGCGCCAGCAGCCGCTTCAGCTCCGCCACCTCCCGGTCTAGCAGCTGCAGCCGCGCCGCCTGGGAAGCTGCCGCCTTGGCAGCCGCCACGAGGGGCGCCAGCTCGCCCTGAGCCGGCGGGTCGGACGCGGGGCGCGCACACCGGCAATCGCTCTGAGACAGGGATAAATCACTTGCAGGCTGTCTGAATCCGAAAAGAATGCGGGGCGCCGTTTACACTTTATCGCGTCAGTAGCTGGGAAGGCCCCTCCGCACCCAGCGCATTGCGGCTCACCTGAATCAGCTCCCACGCCGCCTCGAACGCCGCCGCGTCCCCCGGCGCCGCGCCGTCGGCGGCGGCGGCGGCCGCCACATCCTTGACTGCCGGCAGGAAGCGCGCCAGGCGGGCCAGCAGCTCGCCGTAGCGCGCGTCGCCGCGCGCGGCGCCGCGCTCGCCGTGGGCGCCATCGAGCCGCCGGGCGCCGGCCGCTGCGCCGGCGATTGGGCCCCCGCCGCCCGCTTGCTGGCCGCGGGTGGGCGGCTGTGGCGTTGTGCTGCTGCTTGCATTTGCAGGGCTGCCATCCACTTCCCTAAATCCGCCCCGGCTGGCGCCGCTGCCTGCAGGTGCTGCACCGATCGGGCCCTCAATGCAGGAGGGTGTTGCGCTTGCGTCCGAAGGTGCCTGGCCTGCTACGTTGAGGGCGGGAACCTCGGGGCCTGCGGCGCAGGGAGCAAGCGCAGCTGCGTTGGTGGCTTGCTGCTGCGGCTGCTGCTGCTGCTGCTGCTCCTGCTGCGGCCGCGGCGGGGGCGGCGGTGGCAGGGACTCCGGCTGCTGCTTTTGCCGCTGGTGTTGCTGCTGCTGCTGCTGCTGTTTATGCGTGCGCTGCTGCTGCTGCTGCTGCTGCGCCGTAACTGCCGCCACTGGTTGTGTTGGCTCCTCCTGCTCGTGCTGCCGCACCTCCTGCTGCTGCACCTCCTGTTGAGATTGGTGCTGCACCGTTGACTGCCTCTCCAGCTGCTGCTGCTGCAGCTCCGGATCGTGGTCACGCTGCTGCCCCTGCTGCGCCTGCGGCCCCGGCGCCTGCTCGTGCTCCTCATCCCCGTCCTTCGGCGCGGCCTCCCGCACGTTTGCTGCTGCGCCGTCGGGCACGAGCTGCGCCTCTCCCTTGGGTGACACGCTGCGCGCGCACGCCTGCTCTTGCTCCGCGTGCCGCCGCGGCGCGTTGGGGCGCGGCGGCTGCGGCAGGGCGGCTGCGGCCGCCCCCGCCGCCGCAGCGGCCGCCGGCTGCGGCTGCGCCGGGTGCTGGTGCCTTGACCTGCTCCTGCCGATGACATCAGCAGCCTCGGCCGCCGTGGGCCACCCTCCCGCCCTCTCTGCCGCCGCGGCTGCCGCCGCGTGCCGCGGCGAGGACGAGTGCATGCGCGACAGCAGCACGGCGGCGTAGCCGCCGCCCCCGCCGCCGCCCCCGCCGCCGCCGGAGGGGGCGTGATCCTGGTGGGCAGCGCCGGGGCCTGCCACGCTGGAGCGGCGCGCATGCCGGGGCGATTGGTGGGCCGACCTGCGCGGGTGGGTGGGGCCGCGCGGAGCAGCAGATTGTTTGCAGCGGAGGTAGCGGCGTTGTCATGGCCTGCAGAAAGCCAGGAAGGGCTGCTCGCTTTCGAAAAGACAGGGCAGAGCGCATGCATGTTGGCTGACCGTCGGACGCATCCTGCTGGGCATGCGACCGTCATCGCTTGACCCGCGGTTGACCAAGGCCGCCACTCACTTGGCTCCGCCGCCATCACCATCTTCTGCGCCGCCGCCGCTGCTGCCGCCGCCGCTGCTGCTGCTCACGCGGGGCGCCCCGCCGACGCTCATGCTGGCCGAGCGCAGCGTGCTGGTCACGACGGGCCGCCGCGCCGCATGTGTAGCATCTGCCAATCCAGGGCCATCAGGCTTACGGTCTGCTGCTACGGCCACCGCGAGCTCCCCCAGCCCGCCAAAGCTCTTGCTCACGCGATGGCCGCTGCTGCTGCTCACGCTCGGCGCCTCAGGCGCCCCGTCCATGCTGGCCGGCGCCCCTGTAGATCGGTTTTTGAGTTATTTTTTTGGTATTAAGGAGTGAGCAGCCAGCAGCAGCGCGACGGAGGGAATGAAACGGAGGAAATTGCGAGGGAGGCAAAAGGTGTGCGACAAAGGCTGTTATGTCCTGTATTACATAATTTTGAATGATTTTATGCTGCGCACTGCGGGATGCGCCCCAGGTCTATGGCGGAGGTTGCAACCTGGTTGTGTCAGGGCCGTGTTGTCTGCCAACCAGACCAGATGATGCGCAGATGGTTTCATCACCTGATTCGCTCAACGTGCTGAAGTCCCGCTGCGCGACTGTTCAACTAGCTGCCACGTACGATTGAGCTGTGCAATGAAAAGGGTGTCGAAAGTCTCTGCGTCACACAAAACAATCAGTGAGATTCCAAAGTGGGTTATATGTTGGTGCAGGTGGGTGCCCTTGGTTAGTGCGATGTTCGCTTGGCTGCCTCAACATGCTCTCCGTCCAGCAGCTGCACATCCTAGGGCGCAGCCAGTGTCAACGAATGTCACAGCTTGATTGATTATTCATTTGCTTGTAATGATCACAGTTTTTGCAAGCTCGCTCACTTTGCAGGCTACCCCAGCATATACCCGTGTGTGGAAGGTTGGCTGGTCGACCCACCCCACCTGACCATGTGCCATTGATGAGCCGACCACCGTGCAAATCATCAGGCAGCAAATTATCGAAGGGGGCACAGTCAAGGCGGCAAATGCGCCACCACCAGGAATTCACAATATGCTGATCGGCCCATCCACCACGTGTCCACGACATCGAGTCGGTATCACCAGCACATCTGGTGGTAGCCATAAGGAACTCTGTGTGTCTCAAACACAATGAGGGGTGCACGCTTTGGTGGCTTGCCAGGTTTATGGGGCCCTGTGCAGGAGTTCTTGCGTGCGACCGCGCTCCTCCGTATTGTCTGCACCGGCGCACACTCCTGGCGGGGTTGGGCAGAGGCAACCTTATGCACACCCCAAGGACTGGAGCCTACAGACGCTTTGACGTCATGTTTCTCAACTTTATTTTGATTCAAAGTTTTTCTTGGTTGATCACGTCTGATCTCGGCGCAGCATGCGGGGCCAACGACAGTGGAACGTAGGGGGTCTGTAGGTCAGGTGTCATGGAAGCACCGCACTCTACCGCGTTTCCAGGGCACGCTGGCCCCAGCACCCCCACCAGACCGCGTAGCAAGCAGGCCGTGGCAGAGGCGTTCCTCCAGCGCCTCCATGAACGAGGGGACATAGACCTTAGTATTGCAGGATTTGTAGAGGGTGTCTGCGCGCACTTCGAGCGGCTGCCAACGCGGTATGCTCTCGACGTCAACATAGACTCCCTAGATGTGCTCAGCCACAAGCGTCTGCTGGAAGAGGCTCGCAGCGACCCTGCCACGGTGTCGTTTGCGGTGCGGTCGGTTGAGGTGCTGCACGCGCGGCCGGTTGAGTCGGCGGACGGCCTCCCTGGACCTGCGTTCCCCGGCGAGGTGCGAGCTGGCAACCGCGTCGCCGCATTGCATGCAGCGGGCGGACGTCTCATATGCACAAGCGTATGCGCGCGGACACATAGCAGGGAAGCGCTCGCATGCGGTATCAGCGCGTCCGTCATGCACATGAGAGTGCGCTGCATTTGCAGCATAGTGCCGCCCAGCAGCGGCCGCCGCTCAAGCACATGCGTATGCCCCCCGCCGCGCACAGCAGCCATCCCCTCGGCGAGGGCACCCAGTGCCCCCGTCATCGCGGCAGCGATCCCTGCCCAAGCCGGCGTTTGGGTCGTCTCCAAACCTCCAGGTGCAGGGTCCTTTGCGGTTGCGCAGTTGGACGCGGTTGGTTTGGCGGAGTGGCGGAAAAGACGGAAGCAGGGTCAAGCAGCAGAAGCAACAGCAGCTGGACGCGTAGGCAGGCGCAAGCATGCACGCAGCGGTTGCTAGCGGCCCTCTTTGCCCTGCAGCGGGCTATCGGCGATGCTGCTGCAGTGCCTCGTGGGCTTTGTCCCACGACAGCCTAGTTTTACACACAGACACCCACCCACACACACACACACACACACACACACACACACACGATCACATGCACAAACACTGACATGCACGCATGCGCGCGCTCGCATGCATGTGCACAACCGCCAGGCCCTCGCCCTGGAGTTTGGGGAGCGGTTGGATTCGTCCACCGACGGCGGCGGCGGCGGCGGCAGCAGCGAGGCGCTGGCGGTCCCAGACAGCACGTTCTATGAGATCACCATCGCCACCGTGGACCAGCCAAAGCTGCTCAGCCGGCTGTCGGACGCGATGGTGCGCGCAGCTGCCAGCCAGCAGCTGCCGGGGCCGGCTGCGAGCTCTTGTGGCGGCCCATGCACGCGCCCTTGGAGCGCCCGCCCTGCCTCTCCCAATGCACCGTTACGCATGCACGCCTCCGCCTGCAGCATCGCTGGCATGCTCGCAGACGCCGGCCGGCCGCGCAACCTCTCGGCCATGCTTTTCCCAGGGTGACCTGGGTTTGAATATCCGGGAGGCGCACGTGTTCAACACCACCGACGGCTTCGCCTTGGACGTTTTTGTTGTGGACGGCTGGAGCGCGGAGGTGGGTGGCGGTTGGGCACACCGTTTGAAGGGCTGCCTGCCATGGTCAGAGTGCAGGGGTGGTCGACCACATGAAAATTGGCAGCAGAGGACCGGGGTCGGGTGCCACGCTCCATCGGGGGTAAACGGTCGGCCGTCAGCCTGCCGGCACCGGGGCTCACCGCCGCTCCCGCCCGCGCCGCGCGGCGCGGCGCCGCCAGGTGGGCGAGAGCCTGGAGGAGCTGCTAGGCCAGCGGCTGCTGCGGATGCCACCGCCGGTGCTTCCGACCCGCAGCCGCCCCACCAACCTCAGCGGGCCCAACATCGACACAGCCGCCGCCGCGGCAGCCGCGGCCGGCGGCGCGTCGGCGCCTGCGTCGGCGTCGGGCTGGGCGGGGCTGCCCCCAGACCCGCCGCCAGCCGGGTTCAACAGCGGCGGGTATGTCAGCGGCAGCGGCAGCGGCGAGGGCGGCGGGCTGGGGGTGGCGTCCTGGAACGTGCGGTTTCCCAGCGGTCCCTCTGGGTCCCCGGCCCCAGATGATTGGGAGATCGACATCAACCAGCTGCACATTGATTCCAAGGTCGCGGCGGGTGAGCAGCGCCCTGCGAACCCCACGCGGCAATCGCGGCAGGGGCGCCGGCCGGCACGCGCGCGAGCTCGCCGGCGGGTCGGTCGAGGGGCGCAGGAAGCCGGGCGCGAGCGGCGGCCGCGGCGGCGGCCAGCGGTGGCGTCCCTGTTGTCATCGTGTGCCTTTTCTTCCGCTTCCCTTTCACCCCCAGGGTCGTTCAGCAACCTGTACAAGGGGTTCTACTGCGGGCAGGAGGTGGCTGTGAAGATCCTGAAGGAGCTGGGGGACGATGCGGCGCAGTACAACGAGTTCTTGCAGGAGGTGGCCATAATGCGCAAGGTGGGGGGGCTTGTGTTTTCAGGGGCGGCAGGGCCCTGCGCTCACAGCGCAGTACAATGAGATCTGGCGGGGGGGTGTGAGGTGGGGGGCGGGCTTGGTGCTCCTGGGGCGGCAGCGCCCTGCGCTCGACGGGTGTATCTTCATCGTGCGGAGACGTTTGGCTTGGGTGGCGTTTCCCGCAGGACGGGCGAAC